TTTTTTTTTATAACAGTATTTAATAATTGATTAATAAGTAAAAATTTAAATGAGAAAACTTTTCCTAAATTGTATTCCTAATTGTATAATTTAAATATTAAATCTGAAATGGCTGTTTTTCTTTTCAGTAGCTCTCCTGGTTCTCCATACACAATATTTTCAATTCACTTAAATTCACTTTAAAAATATGACCTTTGATTTCAGAAATAAAGCTGAAACAATCAGAAGAGTCAGGAGTGAAGGGAACCAGAGGAATCAGTCCTGCTGCTCAAACCTACAGGACTAATATGGACCAGTGGGAGGCAGGGCCAACAGGAACTGAACTTCAACCAATCAACAATAACGGCAACACCAAAGCAAAGGTGGAGGAGACGGTCAACCTGATAACGAACCGACTGAGGGAAAGAAGAAGCGAACTGGGTTTACCTGACAGCCTTAAGGTTGGTGCTCTAAAAAGGTTCCCATCATAAATGCAGTTAATTTTAATAAAGTTTGGAGATGAAGTTGAAAGAGATGTTCAAACTGAAATCTGATATCTTTATTATATTAATATACTAGTCCATTTTCACTTTGCTGTCTAAGCAGGAGATGTCCCATTACCAGATGAGCATGGAGAAGACCAGCATGCAGAAGTGTTTGCTGTACTTTGAGGGTCTGCACGGACGTCCAGTATGCCTAAACTTTTGAAAAATTTACACATCCTTCTTTTAAAACAGTTCCCCCTTTATCTTTCTTTCTTAATCTTTTTAAAAATATGATGATACTATGTGTTTTTGTGTTATTTCAGACCACCAAGCAGGAGCGGACTCTGATGAAACCTTTCTACGATCGCTACCGCCTGCTGAAGCAGCTCCTGTCTTCTGTGTCCACAGCTTCCATTACAACCATCGTGAGTTCCTGTTTAAGCAAATGTGTTTTTGTTCGAGGGACAAAACTCAGATTTCAAATTCTTACTCAAAGACTTAAAGAAAGGGAGGAATTCTCTCCAACTATGACAAACCAAGTAAATACAGCTAACTGCCTTAAAGCAATAGTGTCCTCTAGTGGTCAAATATAAGAGCTACATTAAACAACCATTACTTGTAGGCCTAGAACTACACAACAATGAATAGATTGTTTAATACTTTTACCCGATGCAGGTTTTTACAGGTTGAAGACCTATCTCAATAAGCAGATTTTTACAATAAAGTGATGTTTTTATTTTGGTGCGATATGCACAGGAAGAAGAGGAGGATTCTGACGAAGAGCACTTCAAAGAGCAGAGTCCCAGCCAGCAGCCACTCTGGTTAAAAACATCCAGGTTTATGTCTTTAGAAGAAACCCAGTTTCCATCTTCTGTGGACATGTCTGAAACACCTGTGGTGTCACCACTGGATGAGGGGAAAAGTTTCCAGGCGCAGATCATCACTATTTCAACTCTACATGAAGCCTCCAGGTATATATTCTCTTTATGTGGGAATGTCTATAAAACAAACCAGAGGTATAGTAAAGGTTTGGCAGTTTGGGCAAACATGGTGGGTCAGGTTGCCTCACTGTGTCAGGGCGAGGGCTGGGTAAAAAAATCGATTTTGAATCGATTCCTTTACATTTTTGCAAAATCGATGTCTAGGGAGTGAGATCGATTTGTTTTATAGTGACATGCTTGACATTCACAATCAAATGAGCAGGAAAGATGCATTCAAGATTACTTCAAGCCAGACAGCTGCAAATATAGCCAATAGGTTGATTGGAGACATTAACAAATGGGGGCTGACCAGCAAACACCCTGTAGTTGTTACAGACAACACTGCATATATGGTTTGTGCAGTGAAGATAATGCAGCTCATGCATGTCTGCTGTGTCCCTGCTGTGTCACGTGTGCTTGCTCGAGTGAGGCTTCACTTTTTCACTTTTCACAAACAAGTTTGCACTTTTGAGACAGTTTTGTTCACATCTCAAGTTTAAACTGTCCGATTTACAAGTTTGCACTTTGTGTTTAATATGACAGGAAAAAATAAAATACATATTTTGAAACACAGTTAAACCACTTTCATTGTTGTAAAAACAGATCGAATCGAAATTAATTGATTTAGAACTGAATGAATCTAAATCAAATCGATTCAGGACTTTGGCTAAAATACCCAGCCCTAGTCATGGCACATATGCACCCCGGAATGGGAGAATGGAACACCCCCACCTGCCCTTTTTCATAACTGACTTGGCTTGAATATATTCAATATTTTGGATGGTTGTTTATATGATTTCCACTTAGTCTGGTATGAAATATGACATTTGATTGAACAATTTCCCTGATAAAAAGTATGGTCAATATTTAAATATCTGTTTATCGTTAAAGCTAAATGAATGACATCCATCCATATTAATGCCTGTGTACAAAATATCTCCTTCATGCAGACAAGAATTGCTGGATCATCTCCGGTCGGTTCGATTAGAGAAGAGAAGACTTCATCAAACCCTCCAAGAGTTTGAAGACCGATTCTATGCACAGACTGGCAGGTAGCTGTTACATACACTGAAACACAACCCTTAGATTTTTTTGCCGTCTCTGTTTTATTTAGTCTTTTAATAAACTTGGAACATTTGGTTCTTTAAACAATGCCTCGTGAAAAAGAAAAGACATCCACACACACAAAAAAAAAAGAAACAGACGTTATGGTACAACAGTGTAATGCACGCCTATGTAACGCTAACCGGGCACAGACAGCTCAAGAAGGAGACAGAGATAGACATTGGTTCTGAACTGTACACATCGTTATGGATTGTTCATGTAAGTCCTCCAAAGTAAATACAGTTAGTTGTTGAATACATTACACACACTGTACAACTCTATCTGAGTAAGGCAACATAGGGACCATCAACCAGTCGTGGAAGCTGCTGCAGTTTGTTTCAAAACTTCGAAAATAAAAAGATAAAAGGTTTTTGCCGTTTTTGCATCATCTTACCTGCGTGTCACGCTAACAGGGTCTGTCAGAAGGAGGACCGTGGACCAATGGCGGAGGAGTACTGCCAGTACAAGAACCTCAAGGCGAAGCTCCGTCTACTGGAGGCTCTGCTCAGTAAACAAGACTCAACCAAATCAAGTTGAGTTACTCACAGTGGGACTTTTTTTTTATTCAGCTCAAAACAACTGGATCAAAAAAAAGAAAAAAAGAAAAAAGAAAAAGTATTATGCTGATGGGTTTTGTTTCATTCCATGCTCATAATGTAAATAGACTTTCACATGAGGAAAAATGAAATACCAAATGACTCTTTGACACTGAATGAATACTGGGTCCAGATATTTTTGTCCATATCATTCAGGACACTTTTTTTTTACCCTGTCATAGCCATTTAGCACAGTTACCATGTCAACAATGAAGCAGCCTTAGCTACATTCAACTAATTTATGAATACATCATGCTCACTCCCTGTCTTTAATACCAACGTTCCTTTTCTAATGGTCAATATGTTAACTGCATTTGTCAAGTCCTGTTTTATGAAAAAAAAATAAGCAAGCTTAAAATGCAATCAGTGAGACATCCAGCAGTAATTGTGCATGTCAGTTTGTTGCCCTACATTGTGCTATGATATGCATTTTGATAGGTCTTCTAAATAATGTTTGTCCAATTGTAATGTGAAATTGAAATGTATTTAGTGAATGCAGACATCATAGTGCAAGTTGTTTTTAAAGTTTGCATTGACCTCCCCCTTTTTTATGCCTATATGAAGTCAATCCCTCTGCCTTTAAATGTTTATTTTAACAAGGATATGGGCTTCTGAAATTGTGCACTTCTGGTTTATATATTTTTCTATGTATCTATATCCATCTATCTATATATATATGAATATAATTATATATATATAAATGTATATGAGTGCATTGATAAAAAATAAATATTTTTTCACATTTCCTCTGCAAAAAACACATTTCATGGCTCTACTTTTTTTTCACTGATGATGAAATAAGGGCGAATGTTGCGGAGAAAGTTTCTATGATAAAGGTGCTGGCAGCTTTAACACTCATGCTGCACAAAATTGCATCATGCTTTTTCTTTTTTTTTTTTTCTTCAAAGTTAACAAATTGCTCACAGTTGGTCACCAAAGACACACTCAGAGACTGTTGCATTAGTACGGTTCAAATCCCACAGCGATTTAATGTCTGGTTTTTAATTCCTTTGGTATGAAAGAAATTTAAATGAACTGATGATGAGTTTTGGAGCCCTAGAAAGCTGTAGTACCGGTCCATGCCACTAGTAGGAGGTTAATAAAGGTCTGAATCAGCTTCATGATTCAGATGTAATGCTATATTAATCAGAAAATACAGTCAATTTAGAGTCTAAATTGCTAGTAAACAGTGCATCATTAACACCGAGGCTAAGATTGGTCATTTAAGGTGGATAAAAGAAGCAGAAAGTTTAAAAGAAGCATTTTTAAATGTAGTTAAAGGGTTTGGTCAGGATGTATATATCAGCTGACTGTTAGAAGGATCTAATTTTTTTTTACCCTTATTTAGATGATAATGATTAAGAGTTTCAACTTTCCCTTTTTTGTCTTTTAATCTTTGAGAAATGAGGGTTTCAGATATGGAGGAGAGTAATGGGCCTTTTAAATCTGCTGCTTCATGCATGTGTTTATATTCACATGGCCTTCCTTTGTTTTTGTGGATGGGGTCAGTTAAATTAAGTCTTCTCGCCCCTTTGGGACATTCACCCCCTCTTTTAGCGTCCCACGCTTATGTTGCAGGTCTTGCAGCTGGGGTCTTTCTTGGCGTTAACTGTGGAGAGACTCATCAGCTGGTGCCCGCTGATCTCCTCCACCGTGCCCAGAGCCAGGTCCACAGGCTCAGTGTAGATCACCTCCAAGATGACATCCTGGGCGTGGTGAAACACCAGACTGCCATCTTCATTCTGCTTGCAGGTCAGGAAGCGGTTGTTTCCGATGTCGAGGGCAGGAAGCCTCTGCTTGCAGAAGTCGTCGCCCGTGGAGCCCTTCGGAGCCAGAACAAGGATGACGTAGTGGTAGGCTGTGTACATGCAGTAGAAGTCTCCAAAGTAGAGATTGGTGTCGGGGTTGAAGAGCGCGTCTGCCTGGACCTCAAAACGAAGGCGACCATAGGGCGAGTCCTGCGGAGGCTTTCCAGTGTTGAACTCTGTGTTGCAGCTGAAGAAGATTCCCTCCAGCTTGCCGCTGATGGGTGAGCCGTGACTGCCACTGTTATCTTTCACTGATGGCAGCATCCGGTTCTCCTGCTCCTCCCTGGAGTTTGGAACAAAATCAGTTTAGCTTTTGCTAATTTTCCCTCAGAATCTGCAACACAGTTGTTTTTATTTCTTGTAATTCTTAACCATTTTTGTCTGTTTTTAAATACCTATTTGTTGGAATTGTATCAAAAGTTTGTATCATATATATATATTATACAGATATATAATACAATTGCACATGTTTGAAAAGTGATACCTGCTTTTCAGGATTATTTGTGTTATGATATGAATAGAATCTTTTGAAGCATGTCTCTACAGCTTTATAAGTCAGACCAAATTGGGAGCATCTGTTTACAGCAGCTTTAAGGCCTTTCAAATGATTCCTCATTGAATTTAGATCCAGACTTTAATCTGAGCCTCCAAAACCATCAGTGTGCTTTGTTCTAAATTACTCCATTGTAGCTCCACATGTGTGTTTAAAGTTGTCCTCCTGAAAGGTGAACAATTTCTTATTTCTGAAGTATTTTTACCAGGATAACATGCAGGGTTTTTGCTCTGCTTCTATATAAAGTCAAAATGAACATAGTGGACATCAGAACCTTTTTCCTTATGTTGAATTTAAGGATGGCATGACTAGTTTGTTAAAGATTATCCCACCTGGGCTGTAGATATCTTTAGCTTCCCTACAGTTACCATTGGGGCTTTTTTATATAATAGTCTTCCTCAACCAATGGTTGGACTTGTCCTTATCTTTATTATGTCATATCTGATATGTTCTTTGATCTCTGTGATGCTGTTTGTTCACATATCTTTTTTTTTTTTTTTTTTTGCAGAACCTTTAACGCCTTCACAGAATAGCTGTACTTTTAATCAGATTACTTTCAGTGGGTTTGTTTTACTTCTAAAAGCACTTGGTTAGACTGTATTATGTTTAGCAGTCACAAACTTAGGCCTTTGCAGAAAAAAATCCTTGTTTTGGACAATGCATATCCCATTTTTTTTTAAATATTTTTCTTTCTACTGCAGCTTAACATAACTGTGTTGACCTATGGTGTAAAATCCCAATAAAATACTTTAAATCTTGTGGTTTTAGTATGACAAAAGATGAAAAAGTTTTCCTAAAGTCAAAGAGATCTGGAATGAAAAAGTTACCAGCTAATATTACTATAATAAGATGTACAAATACATCTTTTGACAGTATGACTAAACCACACCCAAAAATATAAGCAGTTTCAATTCTAACAAACATTTAATATAACAGGGTAAATGCCGCAAATAATCATTATTATGTAATTAAAACTCTGTTTTTTTTAGAGGGAATAATGAAATATTTCCATCTCCTTACCGGGGATTGTCAGTTCTAGTAATCCCCACATGATGGGGCAGTTTACCAGAATTGCTTTCCATGAACTGATTCAGCTGTAACTCAGCAAAAGAAAAAAAAAAGGGAAGGAGGAATGACATCATGTTGTACAGAGCAGACAAAAGAGTGCTCAGAAGCTGCAGCTTAAGTAAAGAAACTGTTGTATAACTGGAAGCAATTCCCGTCAGCAATCCCATGGTAAGAAAACAGGAGAAGAAAATAGGAATGACGTTTTGGAAAATCTCTCTGCCAACTATGTGTGGCTAAGCGTTGTCGTGGGTTTGCTTTCACAACGAACATCCGGGGGTGAAAACAATCTTGTATCTTGTATCTATGGTTGTTTTAATGTGAAAATACATTTCCAGAAAGATTGGGCTATATTCTACTGTAGATTAATGTGACATCTTTAGATTTATGGAAGTAATTAAAATGCTTCACAACTAATGTAATTTATTTACCTAAAGCAGCTGGAGAGAAACACTTTAAAGTAAAATTAGGAGGTCATCGTGCTGCTTGTACAGGAAATGGTTTCTATAGTAATGGCTAAACATGCAGAACAGTCTGCATCCTTGCAATATCAAAAAAAAAAGAAAAAAGATTTTTTGAGATTTAAGTCTTCGAGGGAGCTAGCTTCTATAACAGAAGAATGCTTCAATAGAGATTGCAATCCAACACTAGCTTTAAGGGATTTGAGTGAGTTGCATATCAATAATTCAACATATAAAGAACTCTATCTTCCTTTATTCAGGGTCACCTTGTTAAAGACTTTCATGATGTTAATAAAGTATGATTGATCCAGAAGAAACGAATGAGAAAGAAAGAAAAGGATGAGATAATGTTCATATAAATGTATAAAGGATGATATTATAGCGATGCCCACCTAGCATGATCGAAGTACTCTTTATGCTGGTTCCTGTAGAAGACAGAGAAGCGCAGCATCCGCCCAGCAATGACCTCTGCCTTCTCCAACAGCTGGTTTAGATGCACTGTAGAGTAATCTGGGAAAGAATCAAACTTTTATTAGTAAAACAAAACAAATCTTAAACATATCTATAAACAGGTAATGGACCAGTAAGATCTCAGTTCTGCATTTGATATGTTCAATGCTAACATTCTTTTAGAAGGGCTTGATCATTTTTTTTTAGAATTAAGGGAACAACAAAGAGCGAATTTCCTTCATTTCAGAATATTGCAAAAATTAGAAGTATCTTGTCCAGGGATGATGCTGAGAAATTAGTCCATGTATTTGTTTCTTCAGTTCTGAACTATTATAATTATTTACTAAAAGGAAGTCCACAGACTATACAGTACTGTAGTTAAAAGCCTTCAGCCGATTAAAAATGCTGCAGCCAGAGTTCTGATGAAAATTAAAAACGAGAGATCATATCTCTCCTATCTCAGCTTCTCTTCATTGGCTTCCTGTTAAATCCAGAATAGAATTTAAAATCCTCCTTCTCACATATAAATCCTCCTTCTCACATATAAAGCCTTAAATAACCAACCTCCATCTTACATCGGAGATATGATTCTTCCTTATGTTCCTAACAGAGCACTTTGCTCTCAATCTGCAGGTTTACTAGTGGTTCCTAGAATTTCTAAAAGTGAAATGCGAGGTAGATCTTTTAGGCAGACACCATGTCTACTTTTAAGGCAAGGCTTAAAATTGAAGGCTTTCCTTTTTGACAATGCTTATAGTTAGAGTGGCTCAGGTTATCCAGTGTTATCTCTATAGTTATGCTGATATAGACTTAGACTGCTGGAGGACATAGGGACCCTTTTCATCACTCTGCTTCTACCTCTACTCTCTCATTTCTGCAGTGTTTGTTAGTTCATTCTCTAATGTTATGGTCTATCTTGTTTTTTCCCATTATAATAGCTTCATCTGGTATTTTCCCATTTTGCTGTGACACCATACTGGAGAGAAATATCAGCTGTGGTGCTGCCATCAACACTTTTGTTTATAGATGTTGGAGCTTGGCCTGTTTCTCCAGTGTTGTCCTGTTTCTCTTACTATTACTAACTGTGTGTGTTCTCTTTCATCCTCTGACATGGAAGCTGGCTTGGTTCTCGTCTGCCTGGCTGTGTGGATCATGGATGGGTTTGCATGTGGAGCTGGTTGGCAGTCGACTTTTGTATCTTTGCTTCTTTCTGTATGCCGGCTTCTGTCTCCTTGAACTCCAGTCGGCCTCGGCAGATGGTCGCTCACACTGAGCCTGGATCTGCTGGAGATTTCTTTTTGTTAAACGGGAGTTTTTTCTCTCCACTGTCGCCACAAGCATGCTTGGTGTGAAGGATTGCTGCAGAGTCAATGAGTACCATATTTTCACGACTATAAGGCGCACATAAACGTCTTTTTTTTCCCTCAAAATGTGCGGTGCGCCCTATGGTGCGGTGCGCCCTATGGTGCGGTGCGCCCTATGTGTGTTGCAACTGCGACTTTTGAGACCACCTCATTGAGGAGATGATGAAAGAGTGGCTGAATGTNTTTTTTTTTTTTTCTTCAAAGTTAACAAATTGCTCACAGTTGGTCACCAAAGACACACTCAGAGACTGTTGCATTAGTACGGTTCAAATCCCACAGCGATTTAATGTCTGGTTTTTAATTCCTTTGGTATGAAAGAAATTTAAATGAACTGATGATGAGTTTTGGAGCCCTAGAAAGCTGTAGTACCGGTCCATGCCACTAGTAGGAGGTTAATAAAGGTCTGAATCAGCTTCATGATTCAGATGTAATGCTATATTAATCAGAAAATACAGTCAATTTAGAGTCTAAATTGCTAGTAAACAGTGCATCATTAACACCGAGGCTAAGATTGGTCATTTAAGGTGGATAAAAGAAGCAGAAAGTTTAAAAGAAGCATTTTTAAATGTAGTTAAAGGGTTTGGTCAGGATGTATATATCAGCTGACTGTTAGAAGGATCTAATTTTTTTTTACCCTTATTTAGATGATAATGATTAAGAGTTTCAACTTTCCCTTTTTTGTCTTTTAATCTTTGAGAAATGAGGGTTTCAGATATGGAGGAGAGTAATGGGCCTTTTAAATCTGCTGCTTCATGCATGTGTTTATATTCACATGGCCTTCCTTTGTTTTTGTGGATGGGGTCAGTTAAATTAAGTCTTCTCGCCCCTTTGGGACATTCACCCCCTCTTTTAGCGTCCCACGCTTATGTTGCAGGTCTTGCAGCTGGGGTCTTTCTTGGCGTTAACTGTGGAGAGACTCATCAGCTGGTGCCCGCTGATCTCCTCCACCGTGCCCAGAGCCAGGTCCACAGGCTCAGTGTAGATCACCTCCAAGATGACATCCTGGGCGTGGTGAAACACCAGACTGCCATCTTCATTCTGCTTGCAGGTCAGGAAGCGGTTGTTTCCGATGTCGAGGGCAGGAAGCCTCTGCTTGCAGAAGTCGTCGCCCGTGGAGCCCTTCGGAGCCAGAACAAGGATGACGTAGTGGTAGGCTGTGTACATGCAGTAGAAGTCTCCAAAGTAGAGATTGGTGTCGGGGTTGAAGAGCGCGTCTGCCTGGACCTCAAAACGAAGGCGACCATAGGGCGAGTCCTGCGGAGGCTTTCCAGTGTTGAACTCTGTGTTGCAGCTGAAGAAGATTCCCTCCAGCTTGCCGCTGATGGGTGAGCCGTGACTGCCACTGTTATCTTTCACTGATGGCAGCATCCGGTTCTCCTGCTCCTCCCTGGAGTTTGGAACAAAATCAGTTTAGCTTTTGCTAATTTTCCCTCAGAATCTGCAACACAGTTGTTTTTATTTCTTGTAATTCTTAACCATTTTTGTCTGTTTTTAAATACCTATTTGTTGGAATTGTATCAACAGTTTGTATCATATATATATATATATATATATATATATATATTATACATATATATAATACAATTGCACATGTTTGAAAAGTGATACCTGCTTTTCAGGATTATTTGTGTTATGATATGAATAGAATCTTTTGAAGCATGTCTCTACAGCTTTATAAGTCAGACCAAATTGGGAGCATCTGTTTACAGCAGCTTTAAGGCCTTTCAAATGATTCCTCATTGAATTTAGATCCAGACTTTAATCTGAGCCTCCAAAACCATCAGTGTGCTTTGTTCTAAATTACTCCATTGTAGCTCCACATGTGTGTTTAAAGTTGTCCTCCTGAAAGGTGAACAATTTCTTATTTCTGAAGTATTTTTACCAGGATAACATGCAGGGTTTTTGCTCTGCTTCTATATAAAGTCAAAATGAACATAGTGGACATCAGAACCTTTTTCCTTATGTTGAATTTAAGGATGGCATGACTAGTTTGTTAAAGATTATCCCACCTGGGCTGTAGATATCTTTAGCTTCCCTACAGTTACCATTGGGGCTTTTTTATATAATAGTCTTCCTCAACCAATGGTTGGACTTGTCCTTATCTTTATTATGTCATATCTGATATGTTCTTTGATCTCTGTGATGCTGTTTGTTCACATATCTTTTTTTTTTTTTTTTTTTGCAGAACCTTTAACGCCTTCACAGAATAGCTGTACTTTTAATCAGATTACTTTCAGTGGGTTTGTTTTACTTCTAAAAGCACTTGGTTAGACTGTATTATGTTTAGCAGTCACAAACTTAGGCCTTTGCAGAAAAAAATCCTTGTTTTGGACAATGCATATCCCATTTTTTTTTAAATATTTTTCTTTCTACTGCAGCTTAACATAACTGTGTTGACCTATGGTGTAAAATCCCAATAAAATACTTTAAATCTTGTGGTTTTAGTATGACAAAAGATGAAAAAGTTTTCCTAAAGTCAAAGAGATCTGGAATGAAAAAGTTACCAGCTAATATTACTATAATAAGATGTACAAATACATCTTTTGACAGTATGACTAAACCACACCCAAAAATATAAGCAGTTTCAATTCTAACAAACATTTAATATAACAGGGTAAATGCCGCAAATAATCATTATTATGTAATTAAAACTCTGTTTTTTTTAGAGGGAATAATGAAATATTTCCATCTCCTTACCGGGGATTGTCAGTTCTAGTAATCCCCACATGATGGGGCAGTTTACCAGAATTGCTTTCCATGAACTGATTCAGCTGTAACTCAGCAAAAGAAAAAAAAAAGGGAAGGAGGAATGACATCATGTTGTACAGAGCAGACAAAAGATTGCTCAGAAGCTGCAGCTTAAGTAAAGAAACTGGTGTATAACTGGAAGCAATTCCCGTCAGCAATCCCATGGTAAGAAAACAGGAGAAGAAAATAGGAATGACGTTTTGGAAAATCTCTCTGCCAACTATGTGTGGCTAAGCGTTGTCGTGGGTTTGCTTTCACAACGAACATCCGGGGGTGAAAACAATCTTGTATCTATGGTTGTTTTAATGTGAAAATACATTTCCAGAAAGATTGGGCTATATTCTACTGTAGATTGATGTGACATCTTTAGATTTATGGAAGTAATTAAAATGCTTCACAACTAATGTAATTTATTTACCTAAAGCAGCTGGAGAGAAACGCTTTAAAGTAAAATTAGGAGGTCATCGTGCTGCTTGTACAGGAAATGGTTTCTATAGTAATGGCTAAACATGCAGAACAGTCTGCATCCTTGCAATATCAAAAAAAAAAGAAAAAAGATTTTTTGAGATTTAAGTCTTCGAGGGAGCTAGCTTCTATAACAGAAGAATGCTTCAATAGAGATTGCATTCCAACACTAGCTTTAAGGGATTTGAGTGAGTTGCATATCAATAATTCAACATATAAAGAACTCTATCTTCCTTTATTCAGGGTCACCTTGTTAAACACTTTCATGATGTTAATAAAGTATGATTGATCCAGAAGAAACGAATGAGAAAGAAAGAAAAGGATGAGACAATGTTCATATAAATGTATAAAGGATGATATTATAGCGATGCCCACCTAGCATGATCGAAGTACTCTTTATGCTGGTTCCTGTAGAAGACAGAGAAGCGCAGCATCCGCCCAGCAATGACCTCTGCCTTCTCCAACAGCTGGTTTAGATGCACTGTAGAGTAATCTGGGAAAGAATCAAACTTTTATTAGTGAAACAAAACAAATCTTAAACATATCTATAAACAGGTAATGGACCAGTAAGATCTCAGTTCTGCATTTGATACGTTCAATGCTAACATTCTTTTAGAAGGGCTTGATCATTTTTTTTAAGAATTAAGGGAACAACAAAGAGCGAATTTCCTTCATTTCAGAATATTGCAAAATTAGAAGTATCTTGTCCAGGGATGATGCTGAGAAATTATTCCATGTATTTGTTTCTTCAGTTCTGAACTATTGTAATTATTTACTAACAGGAAATCCAAAGACTATACAGTAGTTAAAAGCCTTCAGCCGATTAAAAATGCTGCAGCCAGAGTTCTGATGAAAATTAAAAACGAGAAATCATATCTCTCCTATCTCAGCTTCTCTTCATTGGCTTCCTGTTAAATCCAGAATAGAATTTAAAATCCTCCTTCTCACATATAAATCCTTAAATAACCAACCTCCATCTTACATCAGAGATATGATTCTTCCTTATGTTCCTAACAGAGCACTTCGTTCTCAATCTGCAGGTTTATTAGTGGTTCCTAGAATTTCTAAAAGTGAAATGCGAGGTAGATCTTTTAGGCAGACACCATGTCTACTTTTAAGGCAAGGCTTAAACGTGTAGGCTTTCCTCTTTGATATTGCTTATAGTTAGAGTGGCTCAGGTTATCCAGTGTTATCTCTATAGTTATGCTGCTATAGGCTTAGACTGCTGGAGGACATAGGGACCCTTTTCATCACTCTGCTTCTATCTCTACCCTCTCATTTCTGCAGTGTTTGTTAGTTCAACCTCTAATGTTATGTTCTATCTTGTTTTTTCCCATTATAATAGCTTCATCTGGTATTTTCCCATTTTGCTGTAACACCATACTGGAGAGAAATATCAGCTGTGGTGCTGTCATCAACACTTTTGTTTATAGATGTTGGACCTTGGCCTGTTTCTCCAGTGTAGTCCTGTTTCTCTTACTATGACTAACTTTGTGTGTTCTCTTTCATCTTCTGACATGAAAGCTGGCTTTGTGCTCGTCTGCCAGGCTGTGTGGTTCATGGATGGGTTTGCATGTGGAGCTGGTTGACAGTTGACTTTTGTATCTTTGCTTCTTTCTGTATGCCGGCTTCTGTCTCCTTGAACCCCAGTCGGCCTCGGCAGATGGTCGCTCACACTGAGCCTGGTTCTGCTGGAGATTAATTTTTGTTAAAAGGGAGTTTTTTCTCTCCACTGTCGCCACAAGCATGCTTGGTGTGAAGGAATGCTGCAGAGTCAATGAGTATATGCAATCAGCTGGTTTTCCTTGATCCTGATTTCCTGATCTGACAGTTTGATCTGGTTGAATTGTCTCTATAAAGCACCTTAAGGTGACATGTGTTGTGAAGTGGTGCTAAATAAGTAAATTGAATTGAATTAGATCTGCATTTTTTAGTAATTTATGTTGACTATTCACTTATAATTAACAAGACAATGTTTGCATTCCCAAAGAAGAAAGGATAATGCAATTATTCCCCACTTAATTTTCTCTTCCCCATTGTTAAAAAAACATTTATTCAAATCTTGTAATGTGATTCTACGCTCACGCACCACATCAGGGTCTCTTTTCCTAATTGAGTGTGGTTACAAGTCAAAATAATGAAGGGAATTCTCCATCTCATAAGCCCAAAACACATCCCACAAACAAGCGCTTCAAGACAAATGCTGATTTGTTTTTACTTTTAATCCAAGAACTAGATTTTTTTTTTAAACCTGATTGTTGCCATAGTGGACACTATGTTTAAGTCTGATTACACTTTTTGATAATACATTTTTGTTTGTTTATTGACATATATAAAAGGATTTTTCTAAAAAGCAAGGACATTAAAAATGTTGACCTCACTTCTCTCCTATATAAACTGCTTTTTTTATCTGTTTCAAAACCTAATATAAAGGAGGCACCACCCATCCTTTCAATATTGTTCACCTAAGGTATTTGCCAACTGTGCAAGGCTTTATCTAAACGGAAGATGCCTTGTTTACTAGATTCCTGAAGCACCTCAGGTGAATCCATTTGATGTGAAGGGCCAGCAGCTCCACTCTGAGCTCTCCTCAGATTATGAAGTAACTTTTGGAGGGAGAGCCAAACCGGTACTGTCGAAGCCTCACAAATATGTTAAATCTTTCTGGCAAAAAGGTTGATTACACAAACCCCTGATGAACCAGCTTTAATTAATCTCACTGTCACATTAAATGTGGGCTACATACCACTGGATCTGTAAACAAAATCATGCAAGGAAGTTTATTAAGGAAATACATCACCAGAGAATCAAAATAAACATGTACAGTATTACTTTTTAGCCACTCATCTTGTGGGGTATTCGAGTGATTTCAGAGAGACTTGTTTCACTTTGTTCAAAAGATATTCTGGAAATTATTGCAGGCATTGAGTCTGATGAAATTTTTCCTCCAAGCCAGCATACAGATGAAGCTCATTTCAGTCGATGGTTTCCAGGATTTCTTTATTTCAGTCATGATCGATATCTTTTGACTAGGTGAGATTTTCTTTTTTGCTCACCTTCTAATTTGCCATGAGATAGAGCTGTGCACATATTACAGCAGATAAAGCCCTAATTCCATCTATCCATCTCTTTTTTCCCTATCACTTGCAAACAAAACACTTTTCACTTTGATTATGAAACATCAGACTTAAAGGAATATCTCTTCACACTCCAAACTGCTTTAGATGATTTCTTGAAGCAACCAACAGAATCACACCAATTGCAATCAGCAAACACGAAATCTTGAGGTTCATTATCAGTTCGCCTCTTTGGGAGGCTGTCTGGGAAGAAAATTATTTAAGCAAAAAAACAAAAAGAAGTTTATGAGCTTCGATAAAAGAATACATCTGGTTCAGTGCTACACAGCCAGGATCCAAGGGTCAGTAATCATTTTAAGCCTTCTTTCTAACATCATAAGGTAATCTTTCCCAGGAGGCTGAAAGAAAGCATCTATTGATCCACACTCTCCATTCCCCACCAGTCTGCTCTGTCACCTCATAGGTGTTCTATCAGTTCTCTGTGAAAAACTGAAAAAGACTCAGAATGTCTTATAAAGAACACTGTGACTTGAGGGTTAGTAGAGCCTGTCAAGCTGACAACCAGAAAACTACAGAGCTATTAAGACCATATCAGGATCTAGTCAGCCTGATTCATCCATAAATACTGAGGCACAGTTAAATTGAAAGCTTTTTAGAAAAATCTCGCTTTTGCTGAAATATTCTCCCTCTTAAACTTCATTATTATTATAATCTTCTTTCATTTTTCTAAGGAAATAAAAATAATCTTTGTCTGTGTGACCAGCAAATGGTAACAAAGGATAAAAAGAGAATTTCTGTTTTAAAATGTTGTTTGTTTTTTCAACACCACTATTGGTTTATTTCTTGAGCATGGGAGCTTTTGAATACTCATCCAGCACTCTTATATTCATTACAAATCAGTCTTTCCTGATTTTTACTGTGGTTAAGAATATCTTAGTTTTGCACCTGTATTACACCAATAAAATTAAACTTAACTGAATTTAATGAGATGTTTAATCTCAAAGTCTGTACTGTTGCTGGTTCCCAGAGCTGAGGGCAGAGGGGCGACTCGGCAGCGAACAGCTTAAGCTGTTATCTTCTACCACCCTGCACACCCGCTTTGATAAACTACACCCCCAACCCCACCCACTCACTCTCCTGTCCATTCCCTCCCCTCCCCCGCTCTAAGCCTCTTGGTTGTTATGTTATGCGACACTAGAATTCACGGACGTATAGCGCAGCTCTCCTCTGTTTAATTCCTCTATTTCCTCATCACCCATCGTCCATCTCTGGACTGAACCTCTCAGCAACTCATTACATAAGAATTTCAATATTCTTGATTTCTCTGCATTGTTTTTCTTTGTGTGGATTTCTGTAATCCAGTCAGCAGCCTTCTAATCTTAAAGGCAGCTCTGATGGAAGAAATTAGGGAAAATACATGAATTGGTCTGTTTGTGTTTTTACGCACCAGCAGTGCAGAACTCAATGATCTCGCTCCACTCAGAGACGGCGTAGTCCCCATCTGTCTGTTTCGATGCAGTCTGGACCGCAACGGTGTACTCTGTGCGGGGGCTCAGGAACCAGTGGCCCCGGACCGTCATGGGCAGGGGGACCGCCTTGGCTACGAGCTTGGTGGGAACATCCTGAGGAGGAGAAAAGCAGGATTACAGGCAAGGCAAGAGGTTTGGGGAGAAGGACAATTGTAAAAGGACTAAATTACTGAGTATGAGATTGCTAGTCTCTGGCTTTTGCTTTAGCTACACACAGATATTTGTAAATTCACACATCATCTGACCAGGTAATTTATACACTCAAACTGCTCTGTCATATCCCATCAACGCCCCCCGCCACACAGGTATCAGTTGGCTTTAGCAGCTCAGTGATTGGACTGACAGCTCCTGCCTAGCAACAGAGTCATCCTGCTACAACAAAGCAGAAGGAGAGGTCCTCTGCAGAAGGGTTCAAGCCAGATAAAACAGCAATAATGTTTACTAAAAATGTTAAAAAGAGATCCTTTCTGTTGGTGTAAAAAGAGAGAGGTGTGAAGATGTTGCTAGCCCATTGGAGGTCTTTGAACAAAGCCGTCTTGAATCTTCTACTACATTATAAAACAGGGGAAGGGCCCCCAAAGCAAGAGTTGGCCCCCAGGAGCTGTAGAATAAGTATATTTCTACATGTAAATTGTCTCATAGAGTAACACTCGTCGTCAGAATTATTCACATGTAAACTTTTCTCAACTGATGACTGAATCTTTACAAAAAGTAAAAGAAAAATCTTGTACTACTTTCAAATTTGCATAATTCTTATGAACTTGATTCAAGCAGCAGTGCACATTTGTTTAATCTGTGGCTTTATTCATTAAGCTATAAAATGGTCTAGTTAGATGAAGGATATGAAGATAATATAAAGCCTTGTACCATCTCTGCTGAATAAATCACCATCACATGCTATTTAAGAAGATAGTTACAAAATCAGTTAACTAAAGTTAACATAAACAACCAAAAATCCACTTTAAGCAATGATGATTCAGTTCTTTTTAACAAAATTAATAATTTTGTGAAACTGTTATAATAATGAGCCTATTATTTGTTTTCAAAAGGCCACACAGCCCGTAATGAGAGCCTGTTGGATGACTCATCTCTCAGTGACAACCTCCCTTAAAATGTTGTTTATCTGCCAGACTCAAGCATCATTACCTTGTGTTTGAACTTGTTTGAGTTTTTGTTCTCCTTCTTATTCAGGTCAATAAAGTAGTGAGTGATGCGTTCTTTGCTGCGCGCCTCCATGTCCCAGCAGATCTTGAAGGAGTCGCAAGTGATGTTGCTGATTTTGATGTTCTGAGGAACAGGGAGCTCCTCCATGCTGCCATCCTGGGATTTGCTACCTGTAAGATTGAAAACGGAACCCTGTTACCAAAGAGCAGCACATTTATTCACACATTGCTTTAGAATATTTGCTTGGCTAAACCGAATAGTGATAATAAATCATACTATTTTATCTACATCCTTCAAAACATTAAATCCTGAACTAAAGCATCTTGTTACCCACAGGTTTCTCTACCACCGTAGTGACTCGGGCTTTTAAAAATACTGCATTAGGTATTCGACGCATACCATTTACAGTATAGCCATCAAAATGCACAGTGGGACACAGCTACTTACTGTATATGCTACCATGGAAACAGCAGTTTCTGCACGCTGTTGCATGCATCTGCTTCACAGAGCCTCAGCATTATTGAGTATCTCTGCTTTTCTACTGCCCTCTCTAAGCAGACCTTATTCTCATCAGTTTTATGAATATACTGAAAGGTGGACAGGATTTCATTTTTGTCACACCATCATTAACCCCTTAACTAAAAATGTAATGCCTTTTAACAAATGCTGTGGGTAAATATTCTATGACCTATTCTTACACAGCTCAAAGTTCACCCAGAGGCTGATAGAAAAACAAAGCCCGGCTGTATAAGAGCTTTGTCACATTGGACTCTGAGACGCCCACTTGGCATGGTAACAATGCATTTTCTGTGTATGCTCTGGGGTCTGAACACAGCATTGAGTTAAATTCAAGAATGCAGTATTTTTTCGGGGGTAATGTTCAATATGACTGGGCTTTATAGAGGGTTAACAATAGCTGGAGTACTGAAGCATGGAAAATCCATCTCCGCTGGTTCTCGGGAAGAGCCAGAGATAAAAGAGTGGGCTCGTAATTGGGTTTGTGCACTCTACACCTCACCTCCAAGTAATTCTCAAACAGTAAAGCTTTTGTAGATTGATTCTCTTAAAATTAGCCAAGCAGAGGGTACCTTTTGAAACACCTACTATGTAGCTGGAGCAATGAAAGCAGATTAAACATGCAGTCACTGCCCTTTCATAATGAGACTCAATTAAAGCCCTCACTTATTTTCTGCCGTTTGGTCACAACAGGCTGTTTCCAAAATGTAATTCAACATTTAAAGGTTGAGAGCTTCTGACCGTAAACCACAGGGCCATGCAAAATTAACTTTAATGTATTTCTTGTTGGATTTCCTTTATTACACCAACTCAATGCAGTAGATAATTATAAGGTGAAATAAAAAAGAGGATTAAAGAAAAGATGTCTTTTTAAAGCTGTTCTGCAAATAAAAATCTAAGAAAGGTGACATGCTTTGGTAATCACCTAAACTAACTGTGCAACCCATAATAAAAATCTAAGGAATAATTGGCCTCAGCAGTCACCCATCAGTGCTTGGACTCCCTTTAGGATTTTTTTCCTGAGTGTAACTAGATCTGTTCTGTAAAAGACCCTGAGGTTTCCTAAGAACCAAACCTCATCAAGAAAACAAACTATTTGCAGATGTAAAGATAACTTATCTCTAGTGTATCTCTAGCTTTGAATATCTGCTTCCCCAAACGGACAGTCTGGTCAAGTAGAGCATTGATCAGAAAAGTTGCAAAGATCTGGACTTGATGAAAAAGATGCAAAAATGCAAAAAAAAAAAAAAAAAAAGCATTGTGTTTGCTATAAAACTTATACAACCCAACATACCTCCCCAAACACTGAATAATATTATCTTATTAGAAATGTAAAAAGTAATCTAATTGTGATTAGATTTTTTTAACTGCTAAGCAGTAAACTACATATGCAATCATTTAATGAAACAACCAAATGAGTCTGACTGCAGTAGTAAAAGGAATTCAATCATTGTAGATCTAAGATACAAACGTTCTCATGTGTTTGCTTTATTAAAATAAAAGCACACAGTTTCTCAAATCTTAAAAATACTAGACAAAACTTGCTGTGTTTAGATAAGTTTTCTAAGTGGGGTACTTTGATTGAATCTCATAGTGTGTTTGTTAACCTGCTTACTATGAAATTAAAATGAAAGCTAAAAATATGGTTAATTTAAAAACAAGTGCCGTAATCAAAATTTTGTATTAATTTGTCAACATTTATTTTGGAATGCCTTGAATTAGATTCTTCTGAAACTGTTATTGTTAGGGGTTCAAATGGTCCCTGGGGAAACAGATTAGAACAGGTTCAGTCAGCATCCATTTTACCATCTTTGACAAGATCTGCAAACTGATATCAACAGGTGCTCTTTATCCAGTTTTAACTATTTCCCAGAGAATGTTTCCCAAACTACTTTGTTTATGAATGTGTGAAGCTGGAAGAGTAATTTCATAGAAGACTTTCAACTGTAACTGCAGAGAAGGAAGGATTCTACAGGTGTTTACTAAACAGAGAGAGGACATAAAAGTGAATGGCACACTTTTCCAATATGCTGGTAAGGAAATGTTAAAAACAATTTAATATTGACTTTAACAGATCACTTAAATTGGTTGGTTTCAGTCAGTGTCTGTTCCTAGACACTGACTGAGCATTAAAGGCTCATATTAGAATGACCCCACATTTACAGTCAGCTTTCCTAAATGTACGGTAATATTTGTTATGCATGTATTCTCCCAGATTTTACAAGGCACAAGGGATAGAGCAACTCTTTGTTATGAAATAAACATGCCTCCCTTTGAGTGCACTTGGCCTGACTTCTCCGAGCTTACAGGACACTCCCAGTCCTCTCTGTGTTGATTGGTGAAAACATCCTGTCCTGCTGGTGGTCTGCATTTAAAGTGCACATCTCATTAAATCCAAACCCCACTGAGCTGATTAATTTGGCTCAGACTGAGGGGGTCAGCTCGAGACATGACGAGGCACAGCTAGGAGAGGAGGCATTGCATCAAGTCAGTGCTGACCAGACAGCGATGTTAGTGCTGTAAAGACCCATTTGAGACAGGGTGGTGCTGACTTTTACCAAAGTCTGAAAAAAAGAGTTCTGCTGTCATTCCCTAACATCTAACTTAAGCAACACTGAAATATAGCTGAAAGGGGTTACAAAAGACTTCTTCGCAAGTGTTTTTGAAAAATCCTTAGTGTGCTGCTCATTTTATCTAGTTGAAATGTATTATTTTTTCTTAAACATGTGCTGGACACTAACAAAAACAAAACAAATACAAAAAAAAATGTTTCTCTGTTGCAAAATCCTTCCTTTTCTTCTTTGCTTCGAACGTGTTTCTTTCCACAGTGAGGTTGTTCCTTCAGAACTAAACTCAGCAAAGCTTTATCCTCTTCACTTCCTGTGACTCAATCATACTAATTCATCTCCTGTTTACTGCAGTGCTACTGTAACCTAATTCATTTATAAACAGAGGCTTAATACAAAGACACCACACCTTCAGTAATGTGCTCTAATTACTTCCTCTAAAGACTATTAGTCAGTACTTTTATGCAAATATATATGAACACTAAAATACAGGCAGATGTTGAGTGTCTTCTGAAACTTTTCAGTCTTTTTGTGGATCCAGGTAATGGACCCACATAGAGGAAGAGCAGAATTATTCTGGAAGGAAGATGATACATAATTTACAATTCATTAACAAGGATGCAACATAGATCTGTATTAAAGCTCTATGATTTAATACTTTGTAAATCATTTGTAGTTAGAATTTTTTAGGGTATGTTCCGTCTTATTAGATGGACTACATCTGAATAATAATAATCATGTATTCTTAACTGGACAGTGATTGAACACTGAATTTTAACATGTCTTTGTGTTTATCTAAATCCTCTTAACCATGGCTGTGAGGTTCTTCTCATCCACTGAATCTCCGCAATCATTCTCAAGTCTCTTGCAGCTTCTAAACATTTTCCTTCCAGGATTTCCCTAATTTACTACCATTTTTTTCCCAATCTACCCTGACAAAACTTTCCAGTCTCAAGTGGAGTAAAAGCATCCCCACACCATGATGTTGACACCAAGAGGAGTTTTTAGGGTGATGTCCACTGTGATGCACCTTAAATACATATTAGGCATGTTAGGCACACAGAGAAAAAACACCAGAATTTCCTTCTCGTGGGACCTTAAAGGGATTTTCTATTCTACTCTATTCTAAAATAAGAATAAATATGCACTTTTTTCTGTTTCTCCTGTATTAATACTGCACAGTTATTCCATCTGTTTTTGGTGTCATATTTATTTCTGTATCATTGTCCCATATATTATTTGTTGGACTAATGTACTGATTGTCTTACCTCCTGCTTGCATTTGGCTCCTACATCTCATCAGTTATTGACACCACTTCCTAATTATTGATATTTTTCCTCCAGCTTTTATTGTCTTTACACTGTCACAAGTACAGAGAAACGAAATGAACTCTCTGCATTTAACCTGTCCCCTTGGGGAGCAGTGGGCTGTCGTTGTGCGGCTTGCAGGGGGCAGTTTGTGCCCTAACCACTAGACCGTGACCCCTCTCAAAATAAATTATACTCTACTTTTGTCTTTTCTTATCACATTCGATCCCAATTAAAATAAATTCAATTACGTTTTGTTTTAATGGTAAAAAAAAATTGAAAATGCTCAGATTATGAAAATTTTTTTTTTCACAGCATTGTATGATCAAAACCACTAACTGTAAACAAGATAAGCCAGACTTTCTCTGTGGGAAACTAGTGCTTGCTCTAAATCTTTGGGGACTGAGAGAGCAGAGGATGAAAAATGGAGGAGTGAGAGCCAAGCTAGATGAAGGTCAGGCTGTGAGAAAGAGGCAAACTGTTAAGTCCCTCACAGGAGGCCTGAACCCTCATCTAGACTTAAATGAATGTGCTAGCATTACGCCCTCGGCTCCATGCTCTTGGATTTGCACAGTGTTTAATTTGGATGGCATATAATGTTACCACAAAGACATATTGTGCCATGCTTCTGTTGTTTTGCCTCATCATCTTATGGACTGTAATGCTTTACTACACAGAAGATGGAGGCTGGTTTTAACACATCATGATTAAGCCTAAATGAGACAGTTTATGAGCCTTTATTTAAGAGTTCAGAAGCACTGATTAAATGTGCAACTCCCTGTGGAGTTTGCAATGACCCAGGAGAGCTCTGCATGCTTCAGCAGAGCACCAAGTGTCAGGATGCAGAGATGTCTGCTCCGCAGGAAAGCTATTAAAGTGGTTAGCTAAATCAGTGAAACTCAAACAAATGCATCTTATTGTCTGCAGCCCTTTTTTTCAATGCATCGTTTATTCCTAGGAGATGCAAAAACGTCAATGAAAATCTTGTTAAGATCCATATCCAGCTAATTCCTAATGCATCTGGTAGGAACTTGTTCCAGTCACACCTTGTGGTATTGTGTATTACCTTTCAGCAGCAATTTATCGACAATTCAGTCTGTCTGAACAGTTTTAATGTGATCTCCATGTTGCCATGTCCACCACATATGACTAGAGCTCCATTTCAGAGCTCTGATAGTGGGAATGGAAAATCATGCTAGATGATAATTCGAATGCACAAGCACACACTTAGACAAGCCATCTGAAGTACAAAATGCAAGTCTAAAACCAAAATGTAAACATGAACAAACTAACATTTATCAGATCAGATACCCAGTGCCCTTTAAAAAAAAAAAAAAGCCAATTGTTGTTTTTGTCCTACCATAGGCCAAACTGAGATTGGAACCATGCTGTGAGCAAGAAAACATCTTTCAGAGTGTGACAAACAATGTGCTGCAATGGAGTCAATTGTTTCCCACACCTTTCGCCATGCAGACAAAAGCAAAAACAAAGACAAGAAAAAAAACAAAACAAGGAATATATTTTTCAAATCTTTCTTTCCCCTCCCCAGCAGATTAAGATGGGGGCTGACAAAATTTTTTAGAACTGCAGTTTATTGTTTGCATATGATTAAAATAAAAAGAAATAACACTTTTTTTCTTTTTCGTATTGAAAAAGAAAAAAGAATTTCTGGAGGTACTCAGGAGTGTTGCAATACTTTGCTAGGGTGATAACTTTTACTAAAATGGATGTTCTGAATTAAAATGAATGGGAAATTTAACAATTCATTAAGTGGTTGTATAACATTTGTAGGTCTTGCCAACACAGTCATGGCACACAGCTGCTAAAACTGAATCTAAAATGTTAGCTTACTCAGATCGTGTCAGAAGGCAGGCATGCTGCTACTTGGTATTGGGCAGAATCATCAGTACAGTAAATGGGCCTGTTTATCTACGTATCTGTGTGGAAGTGTCATGTTTTATGAACCAAAATCCAACAGGCCATTTTGAATCAGATGGAATTAATCAAACCAAAATATATCGATGAATGGTCCTTCTAAAAATATTTATCCTTGCATATAAATCATTGGTCTCAAACTCAAGTTCTTGAGGGCCGGTGTCCTTCAACTTCTAGCTGCGTCTCTGCTTCAACACATCTGACTCCAGTGTGAGCTCATTAGCAGAGCTCTGCAAAGCCTGACTTCAAATTCTTCACACAAAATGATCCTGCATGTGTAGCCTCAGTTAAAACACCCCCCACCCCTCATGCTGACGATACACATGTAGTAGCCACATGAATACAGTGAAGCTTTAACCCAATCTTTAACACAGGCAACACAGAAACAAGTTGTTTCCTACTGGGCATTGAAAAGCTCAAACAGGCCTCCATGTGTATGAGAAAGCTCTATGCATTCATTCCCTGGCTCAGTGTAGGCAGGCAAATCTCTCATGCAGGCAATTAAATATTAATAGGATTCAGATAAATTTAGAAACCAAAAGAGAAATGAATGCGTTCTGCATCGACTGGATGGGATGACACACCGTTTCCAAGAAAGGGTGAACGTGGATAGTTTGAGGCAGAGAGAGTCTGACTATCTAGTCAATGCAGGCTAAACTTTAACAAGACGTTTTTACAATCAAACTAAAACTAGGTAGCTTCTACAGCGGCCACTTTGTGTTTATAAACTTTGGTTCAACAAAGTTTTTGCCTACATGCAGATTTCTCTTTGAATCAACACATAGTAATATAAGACATAGAAATAAAAAAATATTTTTTAAAAACAATGTTTTCATTCATTCACAGAGAAAAGTATAAGCCTGTTTCTCTAAAAGCATTTGTAAATCAAATATTCTAACTGATTGTATCAACAGCCATTAAGCCTTTTATATCATTTTAGCAACATTAGGGGGGATAAAATGATGGGGGGGCTTTTGAGCAGAAACTCAGGGAGATTTTGGTATATACATGGTGACTGCAAAACTTCATTCAGAGATGGATATGCTGGTACTATATTGACTGATGACCTACTATGCAACCAAGGTGATTTTGATTTTATAAGGTCAGGAACCAACGGCCAGACATTCTAGTATAGAAAATGTTGGTAGAACACAGAAATTATGGTTCAGTTATATATGTCAAGTCATCAAGGTGCTCAAGCTTTAAAGCTGCCACAGACATCACACTACCACCACCATGCTTAAATGATAGTATTAGGTTACCTGATGTATCTCAATGCACTACATCCAAACATATTTGCTTTTCTCCACCAGTGAACAAAATCTTCGTACCAGACTCTTAAGGGAAAATAAGACAATTCTGTAGGACATATGCTACCCTTCATTGTGTCTTTTTGTTCAGCAGTGAAGGTTGAGCAATGACCACTAAGCTTGAAATGATTCCTGCTTCTTTTACAACCCAGAGGATGATTAACCCTGGTGAGTCATCAACATACTCTTAAAAGAAAGAAGATAAGTGTCTGCTGCTGGGAAAGATCCCAATAGTTTCAAGCTTGTGGGTAATGCCTCCCAAAGTGATTTGTTGGAGTCCAAAGAAAAGCCTTGGTGACAAATTCCCAGACCGCTGAAGGTCAGAGAAGTTTTATTCATTTGGCATCATAGGTTGCTTTTTTAGAAATGCTAGCCTTGTTCATGCTGTCAGACAGGTTATATCAAAGCAACTATTGATCTTACAGGTCTGGCAATAATCAGAATCAGAATGTGTCTGATTAAATAAAACAAAGAAAAAAAAGAAAAAAAGAAGAAACAATTTTAATCAACTCATATTCATGACTTATCAAGAGGGTGCAATAAAGTTTTTTTTTATATAACCTCAAGGTGGTTTAGAGAACTTTAACCGTAGTAAAATAAAATTACTGATTACAAGAATACATTTTACATATAATTAGACCAATGAATATGGATACAAATGAAAAAACCTGCAAGAGGATAAACAGTTTTTAACAGCATTGTGTGTGTTTTTGTTTCTGTCAAAATCAAGCATTTGCCAAAACTGAGGAATAAAACAATCGAATGAAAGATTTGGTAATTGTTTGTAAAATAATAAGAAATTATAAATGCTTTCAGATCAGTAGTTATCACACATCGTTGTCCTTCCAAGTGATCCGAGTACCTGAATATTTTAAATCCCAACAGCCAGTTTTGAGCTTATGGAGAGCATGTACGTTGTTGATACAGCAACACAAAAACTGAGAATATGTGGGCGTCTCAAGGACACAGAAGTAGCTACTACTTACACAAGTAACTGGTGCAAATACAAGACTCACCCTAAACACTGTTTGAAAAGCTGCACAACCAAGCCCAACCTATATACAATTACTGAAATGAAAGAGTCAGAATGATGCCAACAAAGCACTGAGATAATATAAGGACATTATGTTGTGTTGCAGTGTGTGAAACCGCTATGGTAAAGGAGAAAACGTGGCACTATGGCTGCACTGTGATCACATGCTTGCATTAATGAAGATAAATCACTGACTTCTCTGGCAAATTCAAATATAAATGACTAGAATCAGAAAGACCTTAGTTGTCTTCCATATGACCGTATTTCACGGGTTTAAAAGTGAATTAATACACAATTAATCTATCCAAAGAGGCACCTTTATGACCAAGCCTCAGATGTGGAATCAGTGCTGTGTAATTGCACTGATGGGTGTGCGGGGCTGCACCGCCTGTGCATGCTCCTCTGGGTGCAGCCATGTTTTAGCTTTCTATTCCTCATGATGACTTGCTTTTCCTCCCATTCGTGCACCAAACATTTTTCATGGGGGAGAAATTTTGGCTGATTTGAACTCTTGTAATGTTGAAAAAACTGCAGACATGTGTTCTATTTTCCCCTGCTGCTGAATTTGATAACTTTTCAGCCTGTCAGTAAGAGACCAGAAACGTGGCTTGAGGCCATACTGATGGGTTTGATAAGACATTCACTGAAATGTTGATATGTGAATCCATTGCAATTACTGCAAATAGCTATACTGGAAAAACAAATGCAGCTTTTCTCAGAGAGAAGATGAGAAGAAGCGCTAATAAGCTATAGGCGGGGTTGGTGCCTTTCTCTGTCCACGCCTGTGGTGCTGAAATAAAGGCGCTTATCAGCTGCCGACATGTGCGCGTTCAGTCCGCTGAAACAGACAGTTAATTTCAACAAAGACCTCTCATTATTCATTTGTATAAATTCAGTTATGTTAACTGCACACACGAGGGCACAGTTCATTTTTCTTGCAGAGTCACCGGCCCATGCTCATTGTACAAACTACAGGTTCTGAATGCAGTTCACACCAAAAAGAGCATTCTTCCCAACAGTTTGCACACAATAACAGACACTCACCGTCTCTTTCGCATAATTGTATGGAATCCAGGCTCAGGTCCTTGATCATCCCCTCGCAGGGACTTAATGGGCTGGTGATATTGTGCGCCAAGCCTGGTACCTCCATCGCTGCTTAGGGGTCTGGGTGATGCTACTGGTTTGATCGCAGCTTAAATATCGTAGACTGGGACTTGCAGACAAAAGGCGCTCTTCTGCAGAGGCAGAGGAAGGAGGAGAAGAATGAGTCCGATGTCCAGCCCCGCTCTGCCGCTCACAGCCCTTCCTCACCGTCTCCTGGGTTGTGGCGCGTTGATAGTGGCGCGTCAGCGAAATCGTCACGGGCTCGAACAGCGCAACGAGCCGCCGGTCCAGCTGCAGCAAGAGGCAAGGCAGCCGCTGCAGAAAACGTGTTAATAATCAGTATCCGCTTCCAGCACTTCTTTTGCCGCACAGCTTCTCTGTCCTTGCAAGGAGCCACACGGAGCCACAAGTGTGCGCACTGTGAGTGGGTCCTGACTGTGAGCCGCTGCGGGACAGTTAAACATGAATAGTTTAGAGGATTACCGCAGTCTGCAGACTCAGTGGCTTCTTATGTAACCAGATTAGGCCGGTGGTTCCCCTCTGTTTTAGGTCTGCAGCTGAACTGTGCTCACATGCACCCTTTCTTTCCAGTTTCACGTCCAACGTCATCCCTGCGCGGTATAACACATGTCCTTATTTGGTAAGGTGTACCCCTCTGTGCTTCAGGAGCGCAGGTGCAAATGGACTGTGCCATAATGAGCTGGGGGACTTTAATAGGTGATAAAATGATGGTAATGAATGACCAAAGCATTCTATAGGTCAGACTACTCTTCTGGGAAAAAATGTGCAGTATAAATGCAAAACCCAGATTGTTGACTAGAAAGTCATTTTAGAGTAGGGTTGCTGGCGAATTTAATTCTTGCTTTGAAAAAGCTCCACTGCAACTGCATCTACTGAAGGTCCCCTTTAGCTTTACAATCCTTGGTCAGTCTTTGTAAAATAGCTGAAACTCAGTTTGGATGGAGCTTGGAAACAGCAAGCCTTACAGATTCCTTTATTTGATTTAGAAGCTTACTTTGACTATGCCATGCTGATACAGAAATATTGTTTTGATCTTTACCTCTGTTACACTGTCAAATCTTTAGCAACCAGTTCAACAGATCATTAAGGTAACTGATTACAGGACTCTAATCCTAACTCTACAGCACAACAGAAAACAACAGAGAAGTAAAAAGGACAAAGAAATTCTGTGCAGTAATTAATAAACAGGGCATATACAAGTAAAAATGGGGAACATTTATGCAAAATAAAATGTCTTGTTTATGAAACGGGTGAATAATTGTTTAATAGTATGTAGAAAAGTAATATTTAGCCATGTTTTGGCCAGATAGTCATGAAATTTATGTGAAAATTTAAAATATGGAGATACGAGGACTGGCTAACCAGCACACAAAGGACCAATATGTGGGACCTAAACTTAATGACCCCAACTCAACTTACCTTTTTAAGTCACCAAACTAAGAGTGCTTACAATTTGATTATGAATCGTGAAGACAGAAACCGTTGGCCAAACCTCAACCCAGAGCAGAAACAGAGGGTGGTTTAAAATAAAAGGTAAACAACAACTGACCAAACTGGATCTACTGCTTCTTATCACTGTTTTTGGTTTTCAGAACCCATTAGACCTTGAAGGCCTGGTAAACTGTTTTTCTCTGAAGTTTCCTTCATATTGGTACCTTGAAACCTTTTCAGTATTTCCTATAAGTATAGCTTAATTCCAGGTTTATTGTTTATAAAACAGTATTAGTTATTATTGAGATTAGTTATAGTTTAACTACTTATTATTTTAGTTACCATAATATTATTGAGTAATTCATTTTAAAGTGAACATGTAAATATTATAATAGTGAAAATATTTTGTAAAGATATTTCTTACATTACTGTCACACAATAATTTATCGTTCAGAAAGACTAATCTTTAATTTCCGACAAATTGTATAATTTATTTAATGTGAACAATACGATGTTTAAAACATACAAAATGTACCGCATAAGCTCCATATCTGTGCAGCAAAAGATGTACACTGAAAAAAGTGACTTTTTGGTTCAGTAAACTCTTTAGAGTATTCATCATAATTTCTACTCTATATTTTTTTATAAGCTTAATTAAAAACTAGTTTCTAAAGTAAAATTAAACCTCTTTTTAACGTAATACAAGAATTTTCTTATACTATTTAAATGTTTAATAGAAGTATTTACATAAACCTAAAAATACTACATAAACTTTACTCTAAAAATGTTGCTTTTTGAAATACACACAATTCTGCTCTGAGTCCAGATGTTACAGGATCACACAGAGCAAGAGGTATTCCAGATGACAGTCATTTTGGAAGGTACTGCAAAACCCTGCTCACCGTTCATAGAACTGATATGCCCTGAACTTGGCATACGCTCCCACTTTGCGCTTCGCTTTTATAGTCTTCCAAAAACTTTTCCTGGAGTTGGATGGATTTATACTGTCACCAAAAGTAAATACTCTAAAGTTGAAGTTGCTCTCCTAAATGCATTTATGACTTTGTCATCTTAGGGTTGGAAAATGTGGCATCAAATGTCAACAATTAGCAGAGGGTTCCAGTTGCCCTTTTTTTATTATTTGCCAAATAAGATACATGTTATTTGGCAAAAAAAAAAAAAAAAACCCAGATACCTTAATTCAAATATCTAGTAGAGATTTTATTCTTCATTGAGAATGGTTAGACAGTTGAAGCTGTTAATTTTTAATTGCGTTGATTTTGTTTCATCAATGTTGTAATTGCAGTTTCAAACATCCACTAGTCTGGATGACTGGTTTAAATGTTGAAATTGCACTGTTTCAGTGTGTAGGTTTGTAGAATTTTTATTGCATATTTTAGTAGTGACTATATTACCAGATCGTAGCACTGCCGCCCTGCAGCAAGAAGGTTCCAGGTTCGATTCCTGGCCAGGAGTCATTCTGCATGGAGTTTCCATGTTCTCCCTGTGAATGGGAGGGTTCTCTTTGGGTACTCTGGCTTCCTCCCAAAGTCCAAAAACATGACTGATAGGTTAATTGGCTTCTCTAAATTCTCCTTAGGTGTGTGTGCATGATATTCTTACCCTGTCCAGGGTGTACCCCGCCTCTTGCCCATAGAAAGCTGGAGATAATGGATATAATAATTAAGTTCTATGTAATTACTTCATATCAGAAAATACTACAGGAATATAAGATCTACTTAAAATTTTGAGTAAAATGCTGTTTGTGCCTATGAAAAACAAACACACTTTACTTAATTTTTAAAAATAAATCTAACTTACAACTTGGATGTAATTAAGTAAATTTTACTTAATATCTTCACAACTGTTATGTCCTATGGAAAGTAAAATTCACGTGATACTGGCAAGTGTGTGTTACCTGTTAATGCAGCATTAAATTTTACATAAATCATTTGCGTGCAAATACTTACATATATATATTTTTAAGTAAATGTTATGAGTTTTTTTTTCAGTGTAGTTATACAACCCAACCCTTTCTTCTTACTTCTACACGACTGTATCCCTGTCAGGACTCAGAATGGGACCCAGTATTCAAGGTAGACAGACAGACAGATTACTCAAAAGTGTTTATTAAAAAACGGATCTTCAGATGCAGCAGCTAGGACATCTAGGGCAGAGCCTCTGCAGGAGAGAAGCACAGGTTAGCGACCACGAAAATCTGGTAGAAGAAGATCATGAACGTGAGTCACTAACCTGGTTTAATAGCTCAGCCTGTGCCAAGAGAACGTGGTTGATTCCAGCCGCCCAGCTGACAGGTCAGGTAAACAGATCAGATGGGAACAGGCAGGTTCAGGGGTTGATAAACAGAATAGGTCAGGATCAGGTAACCGGAAACACTAAGGTAACGCTGAAACACTCTCACCACTGGCTCGAGAATAATCACACCTGATGACTGGAAACAGGCAGGTTAAAACAGACCACACAGGAACAGGAGGGCTAAGTGTTTGAGAGGCAGAACAGGAAATCAGAAACACTAAGGTAAGGCTGGCACTCTCTCCCAACTGGTTTGGGAATAATCTGCCGCTTATGACTGGTTAAATAGAAGCAGGAGCAGGTGGATCAGATGAACAGTAATGAAAAATAAGGAAGAATCAGATGTGTGAACAAAAGTAGTAAGTAATTAAACCAGTCATCAGCTCCAAGATGATGAAAATTCCGGACCTGCCTGCAGTGTTTTTTCTACTAATGCTTTCCAAGAAACTTCTGAAGACTTTACATAGCAAATGGATTTAAACAGAAATGAAATTACACTATTGTAAGTATTTTCTTTTCATTTGATGACATAGATGAATCAAACCAATCCTTTATCATTTTTATTCAAACATTCAAATTTTGTTCTACTGGTCAATTTGTTAACATCTTAATCAATTATGTTTTTTTAAGGCCACAAAATGTGAAAACCTGATTAAAAACATTTTAAGACAAAATAATTGTATTAACCTGACTTAATTAGTTTTTTTCCGCACCAGGGAGGAAGGCAAATTCAGAACATTGATCAGGGACCGTACATTTTGTGGTTAAACAGGTTTCAGAAACCTCTGGTCATCATTTCACCACGGAGAAGTGCTTATTGTACTAGAATCACTGTTGTTCACACTTTCCCTAAAGTGGTTTTGTCTCCATCCACTACCGAGCATCACCAAAGTGATGCAGTGTCGCTTTCTATTTGTTACGGCTTCTCTCTGTGTCAAAGCCACAAAGTGGTTATCTATTCAGCAGACAGCACATTCTGCAGCTGTGCCTTCGATCTTCTGCTGGAAATGCCAATGAGGGAATAACTGCATAATGAGGGCATGGGTTCTTTTTAGGAGGGAGGGACTTAATCTCATTTGATGGGACATATTAAGATGGTATTGTCATCTCAAGTAAAGACCATCAAAAAGTAAAGCCTTATACCATTTTCTCATTTCTACTCATTCCACTGTAAAGTAGCTGGCGAACATTTTCATAGGGTTTGGAGGATTAAGAAATGGCCTTATTTCAGGCAGGCGAATTAAATTCCTTTTAAGCTCGTAATCACCATGGCATTCAACTGCAGTTCAGATTTCATCTGGGTATTGCTACATCTGGCTCAAATTTCCGGTCTGGGAAATAAAATTCATTAAAAGTGAAGGTCAGTGGCATTCTGAAGATCCCATCACACACTCAAAGCCAATGGACATCTGAGGGGATGATGTTGCCTATTAGATTCAGACCAAACAGACAAATTATGCTGTATTCAAAATAAATTCTTATATGTTTTAGTACAGCATTTTTGTCATCACCTTGATCTCTTTTCTTTTCAACTCAGCCTTCCAACCCCCTTAATATCTTCGGATGCCTGCAATGCATTTTTGGTACAGAAGCAGTAGGAGGATTGTACCGACCGATCTGGAGGATTCTGTTCTAGCCCACCTCAATCCATCCTTCCCGTCAGCCAGCTCTCTCTCCACCCACCCATGTTCCCTTCAGCAAGAGTCATCCTGTGTTAACATCAGTGTTTCCAGCAGAGCTGCAGGACAAGAAGGATGGCGGCTCAGTGTCCTGTGTAACTCACACCAGGACAATTCCAACCCCTG